AAATTGTAGAAAGCAGCATGCTTGCCAAGTTCAGAGTTGTGTTAAAGGAATTTAATATCTAATAACTTTAAAATTTCTTATGAGAGCACGACAGCGATTACAAGTGTTTTACATAAGGTGTGAGGTATTGTCTGCAGAAAGGAGATGGATCATTCAACCAAAGTCTAAAGCTTAACTCATGATTTTTAATTTGGAGTAAACATAAAATTTACTAACTTAAAAAGGAAACTATCTATAGCCACTGGACCCTAACATTTAGAGGGAAAAAAATATGAATTGAAAAATATAAGAAGTTCATGAATAAATAAAATCGTTAAAAATTCAAATAATATAGAAGATAAAACGAACAAGGGGCATTAAAATTTTCTCCATCAAAATAAAAATCAAGGAAACAAGTTATAGAAATAAATTACATGAGAAATAACTTTTAATTCCAAGTTATATTTCTCTACCATTAGACAACATAAAACCATCAGTCAAGTGCATAAAATTTAGGGTAAATTTCACTTTCCCCCCTTATACTTTGGTTGAGTATGACTTTACCCCCTTATACTCTCAATTGCATCAATTTGTCCTCCTGTACTTGAAAATTTGTCTCAATGTGGCCCAAAAACTTGTTGGCCGAAAACCTACACGCAAGTGCACGTATCGTACAAGTAATATAGTGGACTAAAAGTCCGGATATCGAACCCACAGGGAATATTTAATTATTTAAACCTAGACGCTAAATTCTACCAATTATTATCAAGCCCACCCTACACAGTCGACTTTGGAGAGTTTTAACTAAATTAAACTAAATTAAAAAACAAATTAAAAAGACAAGAGCACGAAAGCAGTTAAAAACGAAGGTTTAATCAGAGTAAACAAGCCTAGGATTTTATTCTCCCCCTATGTGATTATTACTCCCCCAATTCCTTCAATTATGCAAGCAATTAACCCAGATTATTAACATGAGATGCTACAATAATCATAACCCGCTTCCGCGTGTATTACGATTCTAATACTCTAGATTCAATTACTATATTCCTATGCAATTAATTCTAGAACACAACATTAAGCACAAATCTCAATAATGGCTACCTAAGAGATTAACTATATTCCTATGTTAATACCACAAAGGCTCTTCTACCACAGTTCTAATTATTAACCCGATCTTCCGATTCATGCGATTAACAATAACATAAAAGCACATAAGTTGATCAAGTTCATGTACTTAATAAAACAAGTAGAAGAAATAATCTGGAATTAAAACTTGCATAAAATCATAGAAAAGGGTTCATAAATCGTACATAGGGTTCAAAATAAAATCCTAGATATAAGAAATTTAGCTACTCATGATTAAAGCAAAAACACAAATAAAATAAATCATAAACGATAAATCTTTGCTTGGAGTCTTCGAATTCTTCATCTTCGTTATTGCTTTGCTGCTCTTGAAATTGCGTAAAAAAATATCCCCAATTGTGTGCTTGGCTTGGTCTTATATAGGGTGAAAAACTTGGGGAAGAAGGCAGTTTCCTTGTGCAATTAAAATCCCTTTACTGCGCTGCCTCGGGCTCTCGGACGGCCGTCCCACAATTTGAACTAAAACTCGGACGGCCGTCTGAGCTTTAAATCTTCATATTTTGGTTTTTTCACTTTTGGCCCATATTTTCTCCAAAATTGCAGTTTTTACCCCATACTTTTCCAATTCTTCATTTTTTACCTAAAATACAATAAATCAACTTTTTAAGCACCAATTATTGTTAAAACACACCAAAAGCTCAAATAAAAAGGTACAATAAACTGTAAAAATATACACTTAACAGGCCCTCGCCGTTAGTTTTCAATCTTTTACCTTACACCATTTGATCTAAGTCTGAAAATTAAAAAAATCCACCCTTCCTAGTTTAAATAATTATTAAAAAAGAAATTGCGACAGGCGTCGTGGACTATATTTTCTCGTTGTCTTGAATTTTTATTATTTTGTTTTTTTGTTTTTTCGTTTTTTATTAAATAATTATTTATATTGGGAGGAGTGGCGGTTTTGTAATTTTAGAGTTTAGATCAAACGGTGTTAATGTCAAATGTCTGACAACTAACAACGAGAGACAATTTTTGAAGTATAAGGAACAAATCGGTGTAATAGAGAGTAGAAGGGGGTAAAGTGATATCAAGCCAAAGTACAAGGGGAAAGTGAAATTCTCACTAAAATTTATGTCACTAACAATAGATGTAGTCAAGCCACCTAAAGTGAAGTCTCGGAGTAACTAAAACATGACAAGCTAATATAATCATCTAATGCAAAACTACCAATAGCAATATAAAGCCTATTTAATATATTATTTCCTATTTATCTACTCACAATTCATAACATTAACAAAGATTAATAACATGGCAGTTTAACTTCATATTTTCATAAATGGAATGTGGAATACCAAAAGGCACGGAAACTAAAATTAAATTATGGTTTCCAGAAAATGTATAGCTTAGTCTTGTTGGAGAAAGACTAACAACTTCGATACAAGAAGAAATCAATTTAAATCGAAAGTCCTTACAAATTTCATGCATAACATTCTTAGTCACAAACTATATCACAATGAATCTTACCTGCCAATACATAAATAAAGAATTGAACGGAAATACAATGTAATTGCAAGTAAATCATGTACATTTAGTAGATAAAAGTTAAATCAATAATCCCCATGCATAGACCATTGATTTTATGAAACTGACACGTGTTTTGAACTACTTGGGTAGAAATAATTTTAACATGTAAAGATCTGACCACAAAGATTCAAAGTCAATGATAGATATAACCCATACATGTTTCATTAGGTCAATTAATTCAAATGGATAAAAAAATTAACTTAGTACATAGAAGTGGGAAAAATATGCAAAATAACTTACGAACTTTATTAACAGATGCTCAATCCGGTCTTGATATGGAGGATTTATTCCTTCATTAATCTAGAAAAATTTATCAATTTTTCAAAATTTAGGGTTCAAAGATGGGTGGAAGATAGAGAAGGAAAAATAAGTGACGTAGTTGAGAAAATATTCAAACTATTAAACATAGAACTGAAAAGAAAAAGAAAAAGAAAAAGAAAAAGAAAAAGAAGAAGACGAAAAAGAAATCGAGAAGAGAAAGAAAAGATGAAAGAGAAATTGAAAATGGAAGTTACGATCATTTTCTTTTCTTTCTTTGGTGTAACTGATGCAAAATTGAAATTCATATTGAATTATCGAGACCATTGAATTTCTTTAAATTTCTTGTATGACTAACATTTAATAGATACATGAGTTCATCGTTTCCAGTGCCTTTGTACATTGATGACTAAGAAATATCAATTATTTTCATAAACATACATTAAAAGACTAATTACAAATTAATATTAATTATTTTAATTTTGATAGGGGCATTTTGGTTCTCACAAAAAATGGAAGAAACCTCCCTAATATTTGAGCATTTTGGTCCTCCCAAAAAAGGAAGAAACCTCCCCTAATATTTCCACTTTTATAAGTAGTATAGATTTGGGAAGAAATTTTTTGTTGTATTGTATGTAGGATATTAGGAGCCATAATATTTAATTATGAAAATGGGCTCATATCCAATAACTATGAGTAGCCCAGTTCAAAAAGTCTATGAGCAGCCTAGTTCAGGAGTCAACCCAAGTTATAAGCTGATATTGGTCCAATTTCTTAAGTCGAGTGGAATAAATTGGAGTCCTAATGTGTACCTTCTCTTTTGATGTAATCCGAGCTTTCCATCATCCTCCTAACTACTACTCTATGTTATTTTTTTGCTTAATTCTGCCACCCAATTCTATAGAATTTTTAATATCTTTCCCCATAAGATTTAATGTCTGTAATTTATTTAGTTATTGGCTCTCTAACTAATAATTATCTGAATTAGTACCGAACATTATCAAATAAATGATGGAAAGACTAACTGATGTAAATAACAAAGAAAGTTAAGAAAATTTGTAGAAAAAATATTTGTATTGTTTATAATCATTTACAATGTTTGAATTCTTGGATGCCTTACAAATAAAATGTGTTCTCTTATTTATACTAAGACACCTTCTCAATGAGCTATAGAGACCAACTTGATCAAAGGAGTAGGAGTTGTTCTCTAGAGCACTCCAAAAAATTCATACCAAACACAAGGGAGAGTGTAGAACCTTTTATAGAATCCTTTGAATGCTTATAAGTTTTAAGTACACTTGGTCCTATCTCATTGGACTAAGACATGCACTTGCTTGTTGGATCATACTGAACCTCTTCAACGCAAGGGAAACTGACCACTGTTGGCCCAAAATAGGCGGTCAGTATGTCTCACTATTACAAATATAGGAGTATTAGTTTTTCAATCTACACGAAAATAGCGATATTAATAGTGGGATGTTGTAGGCTGATTAATAGACACAAAATAAACGATCAATTAGAGCTTGATTTAAACCCGCAACCTGAAATATTATATGTGCCGAGTTTCAGCCTATAACTACAAAGCCAAATAGAGTATGTAATCTTGAGTTTCTAATCATGATGTTCGATGGTATATGAGTTTCAGCATAATTTTGTATTTTGATTGTTTTAGTAAATAATCAAAAAATATCTTAAATAAAAAAGGTGGGGATGTAGGTACTTTTTTAAAAACATCTTATAAGCTCCCTAACAATTTTTTTTTTTTTTTTTTAATCTTTTGTAATTTTTTTGCCAAACACCTTTTAACAGCTTATAAGCTATTAAACATCTTGAAGGTGTTTTTAATAGCTTATAAGTTTACCCAAACAAGCTCTTATCCATAAAATATTTATTATTTGTTGGGTCCGCCCCTTTTCTTTGACTACACGTGCAACAATATAATATATACGGTGGCAGCAGCTTAGGTACGTATTTCATTTTGCTTTTTGTATGTATAAGAGCTGAGTAGATTCACACGTATGAATGATCTTTACTTAATTATCCTCAAACATTTATCTTTTATACAAAAAAATTAAATTGAAAAATCATTATCAGGATTACTACTCATGATCGTAATTAATTGAACCGGCAGATTTTGTAAACAAATCAGCATTTACACTTTTCTTCATAAATTATTAAAAAGAAAACAAAAAAGAATAATTAATTAATTAATTATAAGCAGAAATTCGGTGAAATCTTCTGATACATGCCAATGTCCATTCCATTATAAGCAATTGGAGCATACATCCACAGATCATCAGAACTTAGCAACTGCACACAAAAAATAAAAAGAAACAAATATAAATATGTACATGTCACATCTAATTAATTAAGATCTGTGTTTTTCTGATAATTAATTCAAAGACCGATCGATCATCCAATATATTTAATCGATTATTTCAAGGTTTCGGTTTCTGTTTCTGTTTCGATTTCGATTTGAATAATAAAAAAAATGTACCTTGATTTGAAGCTGCAAAAACTTCACGTACTGGACAGCTTCTTCGAGCATTGTGCTTATGTCAACCTGTAAATATGCACACCATTAATTTCAAGAAAATCTATATTAAGATATCACATATAATATTTTTATATGTATGTATGTATATAAATAAAATATACCTTTGTTCCATTGGGAACAAGATTCTGCAAGATCTTCAATCTCTCATTGATTCTTTCTCTTCTTTTCTGAAAATTTGAAAAAAAAAAACAATGTTTTTTAGATTTTTTAAAACAGTGAGGTCTAAAATATTAGTGTTTGTGTGTGTAATTCTTTTATTTTTTTTTTTAATTTGAATTTTCTTACTCTAGCATAGAGGCTTTGAGGATCAGTTGCAGAACCGCGATTGGCTTTGGCTTTCCCGTTCAACGACTTTAGCGAAACCGAATCTAGTTTCGATTCCGAAGCATTATTATTACTATTAGTAATGGAATCATGAATATCTTCAGAGCTGCAGCTGCTTGAACTAATTTGATTATTTCCTCCACCATCATTACTAATAATCATATTATTTTCTTCATTATTAATATCTTCCTCGTCCTCACCGATCATTTTCTTCTTCTTTTTCGACTGATTAGCCGCCTTTTGATTTTTCTGCGCAACGAATCGAGTAATTCAAAAGTCAATAACATAATGTATATATGGAGAGAGAGAGAGAGAGAGAGAGAGAGAGAGAGAGAGAGAGAGAGAGAGAGTTTTTAAAACTTGTGGAAATCGAAAGATTATTACACTACTTACATTTCTAGAAACTCGAGGCTTCCGCTTAGAAGGTTCGTCGATAATTGGCTCTTCTTCTTCGGCTTCGTATTTCCGTTTGAGCCGAATAATGTCCTTGCAAGAATCATCGGTTTCCCCATTATTATGGCCTCCCGATTGGTCGTCGAACATTTCTTCCATTATGACATCGTCGGAAAAAACGGGTACCATCATACTAGTGTAATAATTCATGCACTCATCGAACGTGTTGTTGGTTAAATATTCTTCTTCGTGGTGATGGAAGCTTACGCCATTGTTATTGCTATTGCTACTTTCTTGAGGAACACGGTACACGTTGTTGTGGAAAGTGTGATCGATTTCACAAGAAGAAGAAGGGAGAAATAACGACGAACCCTCGTTAGCCATATTCTCGCAGTAGTTACTAGGAAACGGCAATAAATCGGGGTTGTTTTCTCCGATCGAGAACATTTTGCTTAGTGATTCCCATTCTTGATCAAGAAAAGATTCAACAAACTCCATCTTTTTTTTCCGATCTTTTTTCTTTTATTACGGAAAGGAAGAAGAAAAATCGAAAAAGGTAAGATGTGTTTGTGATACTGAACTTAATTAATGGTAGGCATGGAAATACCGAAAACTCGATATCGTATTTATATCCATGGCGGGAGAGAGAAGAAGAAGAGAGGGAGAAGTGTCAATTAATATCAATAATCATATTGACTTCATTTTTCTATTGAAATTATTTAATTATAACATCATACCAAAACTATACATATAAGTAGTAATTATGATTCTAATTAATACTTTGTAACTAGTAACCTCACGAGTCAACCAAATGGGGCCAAAAGCATGCCTTCACAACCACACAAATAATTAAAATAAAAACAAATAAATAAATAAATAAAAAGAAGAAAGAGAAAAACTCATGAGGGGAACCAAAGTATATATACATGCATTAATTATGACAGTCTATGAGGGTTTCAACTTAAGACTTTTTGCAGAAAATGTAATTAAAAACGTTAACTGTATACCTAATCATTCGATTGTGACTAAGTATGATTTGATTAACAATATATAATATGGTATAATCATTTGGTTTGGTGAAGATGGGGTATATGTTTTCAAGTGAAAATAATGACGACATTAATTATTAATATTTAATCATATATATAGTACATAAATATTGTACTTAGGAATTGGAAGAACGTGGGATTGTTTTTAAAATAAAAAATAAATAACAATTATTATAAATGAGAAGGAATTTAATTAGAATGATGTAAGGAAAATCATGTATCTAAAAAGCGGCCTTCTCATTCTGTATTAATTAATTAATTAAGAGAATTCCCCGACATGATAACCGAGAAGCTCGTTCTTTGTCTTCATATTGCATGAAACCTAACCTATATATGAGAAGAAGGCTACTTGAACATTTAGTATTATCATTATTCAAGAATTACTATCTTGCCATCATGGGTGGTTTTAGTGGGCGGACTCAGGATCAAATAATATTGGCGTCGAGCTAAATTTTCGAGGTTTGGGATAGCAACCCGAACAAGATTTTAGGTTCACATGACATTGTAAAATAAAGTTTATATTGGTGAATTTTAATTAAAACAGTATATATTATGATCTTATGATGTTTCAAAGTATGCAGGAAAGTAAAAAAAACCCTAACTAATTAAAATTATTCTAATAATGTATTGCGCGTAGGCCTCGTTTGGTTGGGGAGATAGTCAGTATTAAGTATTAACTAAATAATTGAAATTTGTTTGATGTTTTTGAATTCCTAATAACTTGTCGAGTCGGCACTCAAATACTATGTTATCATGGTCTATATCTTGTCTTTTAGGAAGCTTTAATGGTGGATGTCCCGGAGTCTAATAAATAATTGGATTTTCATTAGATTATTTAATTTTATCAAAGCAATCAAACGATGCCTTAATATTTAGACATTCAGTGACAATATCCCGCATTTTTTTAGGGGTATTGATATTTTTTTTTTAAATATGCACATATTCATAAATTTTATTTAAAATAGTACAAGTTTTTTAACCATTTTATTATATATGGGGAAGGAATGAAAATTTGAAGTGTTAAGACGCGCATTTACAAAAACTTTTGGGTGAGCAAATAACACTAATATTAAAAAAATATATAACTACAAAATACCTAAAAACAACAATACTTTTTTAGTCTATTATCTTGTGCAACAATATTGCTCCTGCTACAAAATTGAACCCATGATCTTGACTCTAGCAAGTATGACATTGTCCAATTTGGATCAAGTTCAATTGATTTTGCTTTTGGGTTTTCCTAAAACGACTTATACCAATAGAGTTGTCATCCTCTTCTTATATAAGAGTGATATTTTTCATATTAAACCGATGTGCATGGAACTTAGTTTGTACCTCAATATCTTTTAGAATTGCTCTTATTAGGAATCGAAACGGCGACCTTTGATATCATTTGTATTCGACATCAGGCACTTATAGTATATATATATATATATATATATATATATATATATATATCAATTCCATGATTATCAAAAGAATAATAACCAAGATTTCGATTTTTATGGTGTTCTTGTATTAAAACTAGAAAAACAAAATAAAGGAATATAATGCATAAGTCCATTATTCTCCCATTGCCATTCAATACCTTTTTATTTGTTTATTTATTTATCAGATTATATATATGAAGATCCCATGCTAAGTAAGAAGTCGTCTATTCTTTTCCTTTCTAATGAAGGAATCTGCAGCAAAGTATATTGATATATTGGGTAAATATACACTCTCGTATAATCATTTGCAAACTATATGAAAGACAAAAAGTGGTATTTTCAGTATATTAAAAAATGTGTGTCGACATTAAAACCGAGGGCCAATCAAGTTTTAAAATATTGAACTAAGTGGAATCGCAAAATGTTGTAATTGATAATAAGCCATTAATTAGATATGGATTAGCTGAACTTAGTCATTAAGTACTCGGTAATCTTCTAAGCTTTGATTCCGCCGTTTTTTCCGCTCGAAGTGTACGCGTAGGACAGAGACTGTTTTGTATAAAAATGTACGATCCCATGTACAATTTTAGGAGGCCTTAATTTTACTTTGCACCCTTTAAATGTGGTACTTTCGCACTTTGTACTATTGAAAAAAATTTTAATAGCATTTTACATTTTCGAAATACAATAAATCATTCACAAGACACTTCTAATTGATATTTAAAATTTAATGTGGGTAACTTTATTTTTTATTCTTTTTTTATTTCCAGAGTGCAAAATAATAAATTAAATTGTCACTTTCTTCTACCTCCAACATTATTTCTAGCATACAAAATGTGAGAAAAAAAACCCGAAAAAAATTGCAACGAATTACTGAAAAAACAATATTTTCTTACTAAAAAAAATAAACTTTTCTCACTAAATTATTCAATTGATGGTAATTAATTAAAATATTTGGTAGAAATTTTAGGATATAATGTTCAAATAACTTGATACAAAATAGCTGATGGATTTTTCTTTTTGTTCTTTTTATTTTTTGTAAAATATGTTTTATGACTTTTTTTTAATATGCTGATGAGATGTATTTTTTTATTTTTGCATTTTAAAGTTTCGAAAAGATCGACGAATACAAAAAAATTGATTAGACATTTGACATCCTAAAACATACCACTAAAAATATTAAATTACCTTCATTGACTTTAAAAATTAATATGAGGTGCATTATACATAACTTATTGTGTTTTCAGAGTGCAATTTGAAGGTGCAGTCTGCCAAAAAAACTATATTTCAACAATGCAAAGTGTAATTAAGCCATTTTAGAAGTATGCCATCTGTGCATGTCTTATACCAGCGGTTTCTAATAAGGCTTGTTCACTTAACTAACTTAAGACCTCCCATTTAAGAAAAATAAAAAGTACGAATCTTGTCAAACGAACTTCATACTATATATCACCTACTACTTAATCAATGGAACTTAATAGTTGTAGCTAGGGCTGGGACTGGGTTGGTTTTTATCCACCAACCGACCCATTACCGACCATATTTTTAGGCGGATAATCAATTTTTAACCGACCCATTGGATCGGGTCGAAAATTTCAACCAACCCATCTATAATGGGTCGGTTGGTGGTTTCTAATATTATCAAAAGTTGGTTGACCGATAATTATCGCTTATCCAACTTTACTATTAAAATTTTATTAAAAATATAAAATAAAGGTCGTATTTTCTTAAGTGGTTATTGAAATTATCAAAATAATTAGTATTTTAAAATTTAAAACAATCAACAAACAAAAAAAAAATGACCTAAATTTTCTACGAGTTTCTTTATGCCCAACCTTAAACAAAAAGCCCGCAAAACTCCACTAAATCTCCTGTGCATGTTTGAAATTACTTTGAATTTCCTAATTATATTTTTTCGTTAAATTGTTATTAATTATTTTGAACTGATAAATGATGATGGCACCGTGGCATTACCTAAAATGTGGATATTTTTACTCCAAAATTTGAATTTTTTTTAAGTGAACTAGGTGGCGGGTATAAACCATCAACCAACCCATTCCGGAACCAAATATTCGATTGCCAACCATCAACCAACCCACAAAGATTGGGTCGGCAACGGTTTCCAAATTTGAGCAAAAATGGTTTAACGAATGGGTCGGTTTTTAGACTGGTAATCGACCGACCCAACCCAGTCCCAGCCCTAGTTGTAGCCAAACCATACCTAAATATATTGTGACTATCTTATCTTTGATTATATATATAAGACTATAACTAATAAGAATCATTTTTTATTTTTTTTTACTTTTTATGAAGTTAAACAATATACATAAATATATTGTGACTATCTTGTCCTTGATTATATATATATATATATATATATATATATATATATATATATATATATATATATATATATATATATATTAAAGACTTTAACTAAAAAAATCTTTTTTCCCCAAGTATTCGAACAAGCTTTTACTAGTTAACTTCAAAAATTTATTATCTGAAAATTAGCAGCTAAATTCTGAAAACTGACTATTTCAACAAAACATGGGTGTGAACTTCTGAAAATTGGTAGCGAATCTTTCTAAATTGATAATAAACTTCTAAAAATTGGTAGTAGGCTTTTATAGTAGACTTTTGAAAATTGAATAATTAATTTTAACTAACAATATTAGTGAACTTTGGAAAATTGGCTAAGTAATAGCGGTGAAATTCTAAAATTTGAGTATTTTAACAAAATATGGTGGCGGAATATGAAAAATGGTATCAAACTATTGATAATTAACAATAAACTTGAGAATATGACAACATACAATAAAAATGTGATGAAAAATAACATTAAACTTGAAAATTGGCAATAACTATTCAAAAAATGGTGGTGATCTTCGACAGCGAACTTGTGCAGGCCAATGGCGCCCGGCCCCCACACGAAATAAAACAAACGAGCGAGGGACTTTCACTAAAAAAAATAAAAAAAATCGTTGTTTTTCTTGCAAGCTAATAAATTTATATTTGA